TGCGAGCGTTCTACAACCGCACCACGCTCCACAACCGCGTGACGATGACGCGTCGCCTCCATGAGCTCAAGATGGAGAGTGGATCGACTATGGCCAAGCATCTGGGATGCGTTTGACGAGCTGGTTGTCGGGTTGCAGACGCTGGGAGAGCCCATGGACGAGGCACGCCAGCTGGTGGTGCTGCTGAGCAGCCTCCCCGTTGAGTACGAGCTCATTTCGTCTATCGTGGAGAACGCCAAGGGTGTGACGCTTATCGAGGCCAAGGCAAAGCTGTTGAAGGAGTACGATCGACTCGAGAAGAAGGAAGCCACGTAGAAGGCGTTCCAAGTGAATGGGAACGCAGGGCAGTTCCGGAACGGCCGAGAGAACGGTCAAAACTGGAACGATCGAAAATGGAACGGTCCGAAACGGAACGTTGGTTTCAAGGGCAAGTGTTTCAACTGTGACCAAGTGGGTCACATGAAGCGGGGCTGTCCTGCTGCGAAGAAGAGCAGTCCAGACGATGCAGTGTTTGTAGCTGGTGGGGAACGCTCGGCCGGGTGGTTGATTGATAGTGGTGCGACGTCGCACATGACCCCTTACCGGAACGACCTATTTGGGTACGAGGCACTAGACAATGGCATCAACGTGACGATTGCAGATGGTAAGAAGCTGCGCGTCGCAGGAACCGGAACGGTCAAGTTGACTGGTTTGGACGGTAAACGCATCCAAATGGTGGACGTGCTCCACATTCCGGGGCTCGATAGACGGTTATTGTCGGTCGGGAAGCTCGCGGAGCGAGGCATGAGCGTGGAGCTTCAGCGCTCCAGTTGTGTAATTTGGGGACGGAACGCTGCGATAGCGTCAGGGAAGATGGTCGGTAAGGCGTTACTGCTGGACTGTCAGCAAGAGGTAGCACACTTCGTGCAATACGCCGGTCCTGATAGCGAGTGGTAGCTTTGGCACGCTCGCATGGGACACCCCAACAAGGACGCGCTGACGAAGACTCAACGTTCCACAATTGGTATCCCACATGTGAAAAATGGGAACGAGACTTTTTGCGGTGGATGTATGAAGGGAAAGCAGACCGTGACGACGTTCCCGTCACGATCGCAAACGAGAACGACGCGTGTGTTGGACACGGACGTAATGGGCCCAATGAGAACGATCTTAAAGGGTGGTGCCAAATATGCTCTGACGCTCGTAGGCGACTACTTAAGGTTTGTCGTTGCGTACTTTATGAAGAGCAAGAGCGAGGTGGGCAGTAAACGGAAGGATTTCAAGGAATCGTACGAAACCCAGTGGGGGGAACGTCTAAATTGTCTTCGTTCCGATAATGGAACGGAGTTCGTGAACAAGACAGTTTTGGAGCTAAGCAAACGGAACAGTATCGTGCATCAGCGTAGCGTTCCATACAGCCCTCAGCAGAATGAAGTGGCGGAGCGCATGAGCCGTACCATCATACAGAAGGCAAGAAGCATGCTGCACTACAAGTCTATGTCGACGCAGTGGTGGGCGGGAGCGGTTAGTACTGCAGTGTATCTCATCAACCGCTCCACGAACACATCAAACTCTGATGTCACGCCGTACGAGCTGGCGCTCCAGGTTAAGCCACGGATGGAGCACCTACGTGTTTTTGGATCACAAGGGTACGCTCATGTGGACGACGTGATGAGAACGAAGCTGGAACCCAAGAGCTTTAAGTGCACGTTCCTCGGGTACGCTGAGAACGTGAAAGGATATCGTGTGTACGACATGGATGCGTCGAAGGTCAAGGTGACACGTTCGGTCAAGCTGGACGAGCGTGAGGTGGGCGGAATCTATGACACGCAGTCGCCAGCTTCAGGAAAGGTCATCCATGTGACGAGGAACGATGAAACGATCGTTCCAATATCTGAAGTGGAACGTCAGCCTGCTCAGGATGAACCGATGGAAGAAGCAGAGGAGCCTGCTAAAGCCATTGAGATGGACGACCTTGAACCGGAACGGAATGCAGAAATATAGCAGCTACCCGCGCCGGAGTAACCCAGGTTAAATGGGTTGGATTTGGCAACGTTCCATTCGCAGCCTCCATCGTTCCATGAGGACCGGATGATCTTCCATCCTGAAACGGAACGATCTACTCGCCCTCGTGAGCCGTTTTTGGTACTTGGGAACGGTGACGATTAAGATATAGAACGTGGCAGTGATGGATTGCCATCTCCTAAGCGTGCCAGAATCGACGAAGACGGTTTTCTCGCAGATGCAGTGTTGGCGTACGCGGCCAGCATTGGTGGCGTTCCAGATACGCCTAACACATACGCAGAAGCTATTGCCAGTGACGAAGCAGGAGAGTGGCGTCGAGCTATGCAGTCAGAGCTGAATTCGCATTCCCGGAACGGAATATGGACGCTCGTTCCACGTGGAGCTACAACTCGTTCCATTGGATGTCGCTGGGTGTTCACGAAGAAGCGTGACGAGAACGGCCGGGTTATCCGTTACAAGGTACGCCTAGAAGCGCAGGGGTTCAAGCAGAAGTTTAGAATAGACTTCTTTGAGACGTACTCTCCAGTTGCGAATATGAGCTCGATTCGAGTTGTACTCGCTGTTTGCGTTACTTGCGGCTACATTATGGAGCAACTGGATGCCGACACAGCGATCCTCAACAGTGGTTTGAAGGATTTGGTTTATATGGACGCTCCATTAGGTCTCGAGAATGCTGAAGGCATGAAGTGCAAGCTGCTAAAGGCCATCTACGTCCTGAAGCAAGCTGCAAGTGCATGGAACAAGACTATTCATCGTGTGTTCCGGCAGAGCGGTTTCAAATGTTGTGGAGCCGACCAGTGTGTCTACGTCAAGCGTTCCAAAAACGCATTCGTGTACGTATGTCTATATGTGGACGACATGATCATTGCGGGCATGACCGCGCGACGAAATTCGCGAGG